GGGGGCCCCCGCCGGTGTCCTCGTCCCCCAACAGCTGCCACGTCCCGTCCTCCTCTTCCTCCCGCCCAGGCCTCACCGGCACCCTGAACCGCGGCCAGAAGGGCCCCAGCAGCCGCCCCATGGCCTCGCAGCGCCCCAGCACCCAGGATCAGCCCTATCTGAACGAGCTCATCAGCATCCCCAAAGGCAGCAGGGTAAGGGCTGCCCCCATCACCACCCGCACGGGAGCGGGCAGAGATGGCAAGGGATGGCACCACACGGGATTGTGGAGCCTGGGATGGGGGTGATGTGCCCAGGACACTGGGGCTTCCCAGCACAGCCTGGATCAGGCACCGGAGCGGGGCAGCCTGGCCAGGCTCCCGCGGGGCAGCCCCAGCCCCGGCCGTTCCCTGCGGGCGGAAGGGAGAAGAGGAAGGGATGGAGGTTCCCCTGCTGGAGCGCTTGTGCAAGCAGGGTGGGCAGCAGGATTGCACAGGGCTGCAGGCACCGTTCAGGGTGCGCAACGGCCCAGGGCTCCCCAGGAGCGCGGTGCCCCCTCCTAGACCGTGCCCAGTTTATACCTGCCCTCTTCCCAGGCTAGCTCGGGGTCTCGGAGCCCCCAGCACTGATGAACAGGGGCTGGGGGTCAGTGTTTCCCTCCCTGCATGGTCAGAGCCCCAAAACAGGGGGAGAAATGGCCCCGGGACTGTCCAGCACAGAGTGAGCAGGAGCCGGGGAGCTGCTGGTCTGGGATGGGAGCAGCCAGAGGAGGGGGTTGTCCCACACCCTGCTCTGACCTGCTGCCTTCTCCCAGCCCGGCTTCAGCTTTAGGAAGCTCTGGGCTTTCACGGGTCCCGGCTTCCTCATGAGCATCGCGTACCTGGACCCGGGCAACGTGGAGTCGGACCTGCAGTGCGGGGCCGTGGCCGGGTTCAAGGTGAGCCCCGGGCCGGGCAGCCCTGCGGGGCAGCAGGCAGCCGAGGGTTTTGTAACAGCTCCCGCTGCAACGGCCGCACGCCCGCCCGGATGCCGCGGCCTTTCCCTCGCCCGGGGCGCGGGACGCGCGGGAAGGGCCGGGTCAGCTCTTGGGCAGGGGGTGGCACCTGGGGGCGCGGGCCACCCCGAGTGGCTCTGCCCTGTGCTGGGCACCTTCCATGTGGGCTCCTGTGGGGGGCAGAGCCCCTTCCCCATCCCCAGGCAGACGCCAGCCCTGGTCCTGCTGGGGAGGATGGGCTAAGGGCCAGATCCTGCCCGGTCCTCAGCCCCCATTGCCTCCCTCTGCCCCACAGCTGCTGTGGGTGCTGCTATGGGCCACGGTCCTGGGGCTGCTGTGCCAGCGCCTGGCCATCCGGCTGGGCGTCGTGACCGGGAGGGACCTGGGCGAGATTTGCTACCTCTATTACCCCAAGGTGAGCAGTGCTGGGGGGCACTATGAGCTGCTGGGGGGCACAACAGGGGGATCCTGGCAGGGACATAGGGGCAAGGCTGTGGGGAGATGCTGTGTGAACCCCTTTACTTCCAGGCTCTCCCCAGATTTCCCTGGTGCCCCCCAGCTCAGAGCCACACGTCCCTGCTGCCGCTGCGGGGGGGTGTCCAGGTCAGGGGGTTCCCAGAGTGGCTGCGTCCCAGTCCCAGGATGGTTTGGGGACGCGCGAGTGTGTCCAAGCGTTGGAAGCCGCGGGCAGGTCGGGTCCTGCCCACCCCAGGCTGCTCCCTCCCTCCTCCGGCATCGGGTGCCAGGTCCCTGCAGCCCCCCCGGCCCCGTTGGGCCTTGGCCCCCCAGCAGAGCCTCCCCCTGACAAAGCAGAGCCTGCCCCGGGCTCCACAGCTGCAGGGACAAGGCCGGCGTGAGGGCAGCGCTGCAGCCGGGGACGCACGGCCCAGATGGGCGAAACGAGCCGGGGGGCATTGGGGGCAGGATCAGATTGCAAAGGGGGGGCCTGACCAGGGCTGGGGCCCATGTGGGTGGCAGGACGCTATGGGTGGAGGATGGGAGGGATGAGCAAGGAGATGTTGGCAGGAGGAGCAATCCCATATCCCTGCCGCTGTCCCCCTGCCCCAGCACCCCCAGGCAATGTTGGACTCAGTCCTTGGTGCCCCCATGGGCAGGGATGTGGGGGTATGTGGGAACGGGGACTGCAGGCTCTGCCTGCTGGCTGCCCTGGGGTGCTGCTCTGCTCGGGGCTGGCCTGCTGCACCCCAGGGAATGGGGACAGGGGTCCCGGTGACACAGGGGGCCTCGGTGCACCCCGGCCCCCTGCCCTGCAGGTGCCCCGGGTGCTGCTGTGGCTCATGATCGAAATAGCCATCATCGGCTCGGACATGCAGGAGGTCATCGGGACGGCCATCGCCTTCAGCCTGCTCTCAGCTGGCCGGTAACTCAGCAGCCAGATCCTCGCAGGGGCTGCCGCGTCCCCAGCCCCAGCTCTTGCCCTCGCCCCGGAGTGGCCCAAGTGTGACAGAGCTGCCCCCTCCCGCTTGTTCTGGGGGACGGGGTGGGCACAGGGACCCAAACCCCCAGCCACCCTGATGGCCCCAGGCCACCCCGTGGCTGACGCTGCGGCTGTGCCTGCCCCGCAGCATCCCCCTCTGGGGTGGGGTCCTCATCACCATCGTGGACACCCTCTTCTTCCTCTTCCTGGACAAGTATGGTGAGTGCTGGGGGCCGGGCCGGGGCAGCGGCGGTGCCGGAGGCGCCCGCTTTCCCACTCACCGGTGCCCCTGCCTGCTCCCACCCCGGCTCTCGTCCCTTCCAGGGCTCCGGAAGCTGGAGGCTTTCTTCGGCCTCCTCATCACCATCATGGCCCTCACCTTTGGCTATGAGGTAAAGGGAAGGGGATGCTCGGGACAGCTGTGCTGCCAGGTCAGGGCTAGCAAAGCCAAGGCACCCCCATGGCACCAGTCTCCGGAGGAGACCTCAGCACCCGGCTCACAGTGCCGCCTTCTCCCGGCCCCCAGTACGTGGTGGTGAAGCCGGCGCAGGCAGAGGTGCTGAAGGGGATTTTCCTGCCCTACTGCCCGGGCTGCGGGCGGGAGGAGCTGCTGCAGGCCGTGGGCATCGTGGGCGCCATCATCATGCCCCACAACATCTTCCTGCACTCCTCCTTGGTCAAGGTGAGAGGACGGCAGAGGACACCCCCCCAACCCCCTGCTCCTTCCCTGCCGCAGAGGCACCAGCACCCTGGGGTGTCTCAGGGGATACAAGCGGCTGCACGGTGCCCCCCACAGAGGGGAGCAGGGCTGCAGAGCCAGGGCCCTGGGGGCTGCAGGGAGAAGGGGCACCCACCTGAGCCCGCCGTGCCCATCTGTGCCCAGACGCGGGCGATTGATCGCTCCAAGAAGGAGGAGGTGCGGGAGGCCAACATGTACTTCCTGATCGAGTCCTGCGTGGCCCTCTTTGTCTCCTTCCTCATCAACCTCTTCGTCATGGCCGTCTTTGGTGAGGCCTTCTACCACCAGCGCAACGAGGATGTGGTGAGCACCGGCCGCTGCCCAGCTCCTTGGGGAAGGGGCTGCCTTCCCTGGGGACACCCTGCTCGGCCGGCACCCCATGGCCCCGGAGAAGGGCAGGGCGAGCGCCCCTTGGCCATGCCAGGGGGTGGCTGTCCCCGTCCCCACGGCACAGGGCTGCGAGGGAGCTGCCACGTGGCCACCTCGCCTGCACCGCCGTCTCTTGCAGCACGACAAGTGCGTCAACAGCAGCGTCAGCCAGTACGCCGGCATCTTCCCCGCCAACAACAAGACGGTGTCTGTGGATATCTACCAGGGGGTGAGTGGTGCTGGGCTGTGCCCCGTGGCCAGCAAGTGTGGGCAACCATCCTGTGGACATAGCGTTCCCCTGGAGCCCCATAGGCACCCTCACAGCGACCCCCCAGCCTGAGGATGATGCTGGGGCCATTACCCCACTGGGAGCCCGAGTGCAGAGCTCAGCACCCAGCGGTGGGGAGATCAGTTCAGTGTCCCCGCCACCATCAGCGTGTCCCCCACAGGGTGTCATCCTGGGCTGCTATTTCGGGGCCGTGGCCCTGTACATCTGGGCCGTGGGCATCCTGGCAGCGGGGCAGAGCTCCACCATGACCGGGACCTACGCGGGGCAGTTCGTCATGGAGGTGAGAGTTGTGGTGGTCCCCGGCACGGGGACACTGTGCAGTCCTTGCACCCCACCGTGCAATTTCCACACCCCATCCCACTGCCCCGCCAGGGGCCTCACTGCTCCCTGTGGCTGCAGCCCTGCCAACACTTCACTAATGAACTCATTTGCTTAATGAGCAGGAGCTGACATCTAGCGGGGCTCCTGCATCCTGCAAGGGCCCGCTCAGCAGAGCCAGGCACCTGCAGGCCCTGGGAGGGGGACAAGGGGGCCTGGGCCCCCCAGCTCTGCTGCTCTCCCTGTGTCCCCCTGGCATGGGCAGGACATCGTGGGTCTCTGGGGATGCGCAAGCAGCGGCTGTGCCCCATGGGACCCCACAGGAGGGTTTCCCGAGGCAGGGGGCCGGCGGCCCCAGGGGGGGGCTCGCAGGGCTTCCTGCAGCTGCGCTGGTCCCGCTTCGCCCGCGTGCTCTTCACCCGCTCCTTCGCCATCCTGCCCACCGTCTTCATCGCGGCCTTCAAGGACGTGAGCCACCTGACGGGCATGAACGACCTGCTCAACGTGCTGCAGAGCATCCTGGTGAGGGGCGCCCGGCGCTGCCTGCCCCACGGCCACCGCCGGGGCTGTGTCCCCTCACCCCGCTCTCCTCCCAGCTGCCCTTCGCCGTCCTGCCCGTCCTCACCTTCACCAGCCTGCGCCCGCTCATGGACGACTTCACCAATGGCCCGTGAGTGCTGGGGGCACGAGAGGGGCAGAGCAGGGTGCCCCAAAGACAGACACCCTCCTCTTGGCCCAAGGACCCCTGGGGAGGGCACTGGGGCTGCTGGACGGGTGGCAGAGCAGGGTGGCATGGGGGGACGGGTGCTCTGCTCCACGCTGACACCTGCTCTGGCGCCTTCAGTGTGGGCAAGGTGCTGATGACCCTCATCACGGGGCTGGTCTGTGCCATCAACATCTACTTCGTGGTGGACTTCCTCCCCACGCTGCAGAGCCTGGGCTACTACATCCCCCTGGGGCTGCTGCTCGTTGCCTACGTGGCCTTCATCGCCTACCTGGTAGGGCTGGGACAAGGCGAGGGATGGTGAGGAGGGGGCCAGAGCCCCAGGGGGTGCAGGTGTCCCCGGTGCCACATTCAGCCACCCTCCTTGTCCCCACAGATCTGGACGTGCTGCATTGCGCATGGAGCCCGGTTCCTAGCCCGGGGCCACCACAGCAAATTCAGTTTTGGCATTTCCATCAATACACCAAGCCCAGCAGGGTCACCGTGATGGGCTCTGTCCCTTATGACTCTCACTCCCTCCGGACACCAGCTCGGGCTGAGGGGATGTTGAGGGCAGAGAGGCGCCTGGCAAGGAAGGGGTTAACAAGCTGGCTGCCCCCCACTCTGTTTGCGCAAACCCCCGGCCCGGGGCTGCCTGCGGGCGCGGGGGGACAGTGCAGGGTGTCCCCAGTCCCGGCACTGAGGTCTAAGTAAATTAGCCACCCCCAGAGACACCCCCGGCAATTAGTGCCTGCGGGAGCGCTAATGGCCCGCTCGGCTGCCAGGGAGGCCCTGGGGGCCGCCGGGGACGGGTCCCCAGGGCAGGGCGAGCCGCGCTC